CAGTGAAGAATCGCCAAAAAACTTGTCCTGCCCAGAGGCGTTAGATTTTAGCACATTCTCGCTGTTCTTACCTTTTACATGCACATATTTGGATAGCCACTAACGCTTCAACACCCAAAATTCTGTTACGAATCCAGACTACTACTGATCTTGGGTGTGACTGCAGGCAAAACTATTCGTCACTGAAAGAAAACCAACTAGAGATAGCCAGGTAAAAATTGCCAACAAGACGCACGAACTTGGTGACACGTTGCGAAACTCATTCCTTCGAAGAACCCTGACCAAGGTTCAAGAAATTGGGACTCTAAGCGCCCGCATTGCCCTTACGTTTCGCCTAGTCCCACCGTAGCATTAATTCCCACTTTTCGAGAGCATTTGGAATTCTCCTCATGCTATAACTGATTTTCAAGGCAAAATGCCGCGAGAAGGAGACAACCACACTAAACCTTGACGTGATCCCTCCCAGATACTGCAGTATTTGTTAAGATCTTTAGCAAAACAAACTAAAGCCACATAGAAGGCCTAGGTAATCAAGACTCAATAACTCAATGTAGCTAGAGGTCAATGTTTCATCAAGATGAAAACCAAGATTTCTAATTCACATAGAAATAAAGTGACGACCTACCAGAATGCAAGGTAAGAGCATAAATCGTCGTAGATGCATATAAAATGCCTATCCACTGCTCCACAACATCATCATCTCCCTCATCATCATTTAACATCGCCTGCGCTTTTTCAAATCGTTCCAACAACTCAACACCATCTTTTAGCCCTTCGGAGCATATTTTCACGCCCGTTTCCAAGAGATGCTGCATGATTTTTATCAATATTTCCATCGCCTGTTTGCAAGGCTTTGTACTCTGTGAGATCTAAAAAAAGAAGAGCAAAATTTGCGACGAAAGCAACTAATAATATTCCTTCGCTCCTTCACACACCCTCATTTCTGTCCGCAGAGGAACACGTCGAACCAATAGTGTTAAGCACCTTCCCAACTGCGTTAACGAAGCTACAGCAACCGCCGACGTTATTGCGACCTCAGCAGCCTTCAGAGGAACAGCGCCACTGTTTGCGACGAGAAGGAGGAAGTCGAGAACTTCACAAAGAGAATCCAGATTGCTAGTGGTGTTAGCACGCGTTATAATGATGAAGACAATCGAACGAAGGAGCTCCAGAATGTGTAGACGTTTTCTGTCAACTGTACCGATGGTGGTAGTCGAATCGTCTCTGATGGCAACAAAAAGGCTTTGAAGGTTCTGTGACCATTCACAAAGGTACTCCTCGCTAAGGGCAGCAGATGAGCAGTCTAAAAGGAGCTGAGGAAAGGAAAAGTCGGCCACTCATTGAAAGGCGAAATTTATTAACACAGTTTTTTCAACTCACGGATAAAAGATGAGGCGCCTTGGGAGCAAGAGTCGAGTCAAAGAGGGGTGCCTGATTAGCAATATTGGCAAATAAATGAGATGCATAGATGACGGACTCGTTTGGAGAACTAAATCTGCAATCATTGTTATTTTCCAGTATGGAATCTTCCTCAAGAACCCGGTTCTTGAAATGGGAAAGAAGACTATTCACGGCTCGACAGATGTCCTCATGGCTGGATAACTTTGGATTGGAAAGTTGCTTTCCAAGGAAGGCCAAGAAAGTGGGAGTAACGACGACCTTAAACTGTTCATCAGTCTGGAGTTTCGACAGCAAAATTAACGCCATCTTCAGAATACACAAACGCTGAGATACTGGAGACTCTGGCCTGTCGATTGGTGCTAAGGGTAAAAATACTTTCAGTTAATCGAGAAGTACTTGAAATTCGCGCCCAAAGCTTATTGAAAATCGATGAAGATCTGAACTGGGCGACTAATTCAGCTGCTACTTCCCGATCTGAGGCTTGGTTGCAGGCCTTAACTGCATTGAAAATTCGTTTAATAACAGACTTGCTCTCGGTCTCAAGCCTGAGATTATTTTGAACCACCGACATAACTTGTGGATGATCTTGGAGACGCAAAATAAAGAGAATTTGGCTAGCTGTGGGTTCCTCCGCTTTCCAAGAAAGGTCCCATAACTGGGAAATTAAGTCTTCGTAGAAGATTATGGATGTATGATCTAAGTGGGGAGCCACTTGAGATACGACTGATGCCATCGGCTGAAGGCATGTCTCAACCTTTGCTAAAGGTGTCAGGACAGAAGCAATCCTTTTGTGCTCTTCATTGTCCAAATCAGAGAGTCTTCCTGATCGGTAAAGCATAGCTAAACAATCAATTTTAGCCAAATTAGCGGCCACCAACTCCTAAAAATAGGATAATTTGCTTAGTTTTGTTTGATTATAAAACTCATAGCATCTAAGGCGTACTAACCCTCGCGTCATGAGCTTTGAACGAAAACACATTCTTTTCGAGGGCTGAGAAAAGGGCTTTCGTAGAGATATCCTCATTGTCTTGAAGAATTGAGACCAGAGCAGATAAAAAACCTGCCTTCGACGCAGGAGATGACGAACGAAGTCCCTTGGAGAGTCGATCGAGTGTGTAGGAAATATGTTCTTGAATATCCTGCAGAACTAAAAGAAAACATCACCTACCTTCCGCTGAACAGACAAATGCTTTTTAAGTTTACCGATAGCTGCATCCCTTTTATTGACCTCAGGACTTGCAATGTCCCAAAAGAGATCTAAGAACTTCCGATTCCCTTTCTTAAGAACCACCTCTCGCATGCTTTTTAAAAATGAAGGTAGCCTTGCAAGTAGCTAGAAGAAACACAAAAATGCTGTAAAACTCGACCTTATTTGAACATTGTTATGTTGGCCAGAATTTCACTCATAGCCCTTCTTAAAAAATTATACTTTTTTTCGAGTATATAAAGTACATTTCTTACTTCAAGTAATAAGATTACCATTAGCTTCACCATTTTTGTGCCAGAAAATTTCGAATGTCTTGGCTGTAGTTGCAGTATTTGTACATTTTTTAATAACTTGTCAATATTTTATACAGTTGCAACTTTTGGTTCTTAAAGTCATGGATGCTGTTGCTATGTCCCTGAGCTGTACAGATCTGCTTCCATCATGTGTCACTGTCCACGTTTTATTTTCGCCTGACCACACACAGCTGGACTGAATTCAGCTGCTAATAAAGATTTTTAGGTCTTGCACCTTCCCATATTGGGTGCTGTTGTGCAGGTGCCATAAGCAGACCCGAGAATAAGCTTTATGGTGTGCACCACTATTAATGTCTTGGTTATGAGTCACTGATTCTTCCACAATGCATCACCACTATGGTGCTTTAGGAATTTCCCGATGCCAAAAGTAGCCCTAATACCCAGGCTGGATACACAAATTAGGCGTAAGTTAAGTTTAATGTTTGTGAAAACGTTTTCCTTGTTTTAGCAATTAGCCGCCAACCTTAAACAGGCCTTTTAATCAAATCAGATTTACACTTAGATTCTGTAGTTTCATTAAGTTTCCAAGCCCCAGTTGTTCGTCAATCTCATTTGCACATACCATCCTTTCTTCTTGCCACTTTTACTTCATAATGCATAACTGAAAGAAATCGTTAGTATCGGGAAACATGCCTGGTCAAAAAGCGCTAATATATTCGAGCCATTAAAATAGGTACTCGCCCTCAATTTGCTTAACATTGTCATGGCCATCAGTTGCTGCGAGGTTAACTTGTGGCAAAGCCGCCAAATTCTCTTCTTAATTTTCCGGCCAAGCTTTTATCTTTGCATCTACATTGCAGTCTATGGGACAATGATATTCGCTGTGTGATTTGGCCCTATACAGCATGCAAACACTAAATTGAAAAGGGATTGTTAATGTATTTCTAGGTGTATTCTCGTCGTTACAGTAGAAGAATTTTCGGTCAGAAC